TCGGTGACGCGCCATTCAGAGACCTTTATCTCTGCCTCAGCCGTGCGCCGATGTTGAAAGAATGCCAGGTTGTTCAAACTTCAACGCAGTTGTGAACAATCCGGGGCTGGATGAAATATCATTGACCGGTTGCGGCAATGAAGAAGTGTTGTCTTCAGGTGGGACATAATTGCCCACTGGGGATACAGCACCCGATTGAACTACGTTGAAAAAGAGCCGGTAACACGAGTCGCCCACACACACATCGAAACGTAACACGGGTCGCCACACACATCGAAAAAAAGGCCTCAAGGTAGTCAAGGTTGATCGGGTATGAAGTTATTCGTGGTACCTATATTGGGCCATTCCGACGCGTTTTAGTGAAAAAAGCAGGGTGTTGATTTTCCTCCATTGACTTATACTTATGGGGAGGTCAAGAAATTGACCTGACCTTAGGTCATCGATATCTTAAAATTCCGAGATATATAGATTTTAGCTATCAATGACCTCATTGCAGCTTGCGACTTTCAAATGCCTCCGTCATTTATTGTAGCTCTGACAGGGTAACAAAGTTGCAAAAAAGTGATTTGAGGTTGGGTCATTCGAAGTGACCTGGTGGCCTGACCTTGAAAGGTAGTAGGTTCAAACTTGCACACCATGTGTAAAATTGATGGAGGAAAAATTATGCCAAATTTCGCGCACTACGCGCCACGGTTTTTCCACTATTCACAAAAAAACTCACGGGGGGGGGCGGTTAACCCCCCATCGGTGCGCGAGTTAAAGCGCCGCACAAAGGCCAGGGTTAACACTGGGTATTATTGACTTCCTCTCGTCATGGGCAGCACGCTCGTTTCTTCGCGAAGATCGATCAGAGGCCGAAAGGCTGGGGGTTACGATCGATTCCCCCTTCTATGCGTTATCGGCTGTGAAAACGCCAACACAGCCGTGGGACAGTGAGTGCGACAGCTATGCAGACACCACTCAACTTTGAATGATAAACTCCCCTCGCAATCGTATTCCGCACTCCGCAGTGGTCTCGGCGGCCCGCGTTGCAAACTGCTTAGTGGGGCCTTCTGGCATATCAATGAAGTTTGTGGCAGGTAGACTCTCTCTCACCAGCCGGCATAAACCATCCTCCAGTACTCAGGAGTTTTGATGCAGCATCACCTAAGCATAATCATTCTTGTCCATGACCTGCTACAATGCTGTACGCCATTAGCGTCGCCACGGGGGGGCAAGCGGGGCAGCTTGCCCCCTCCAACCTCGGACCGGGCACCCCCTGAGATCGATACAGATCCGATGAGATTTTGGAGTCGGGGAAAAAATGTGGGTACCTTTCTGAGAATGCCTGTGAGGTCAGACTCTGTTGGAGCGTGCAGTTCAAACCAAAGTCAGAGTCGCAGTCACCAAAATCTTCCAGACTCCGACTCCAGACTCGGAAATGTCAATGCCATGATTCATGTCATGTTCCTAGTTGGTTCTGTATTACATTTTGTAGCTGATTTTCATAAATTTTGGAGTGCTGACACATAATTTTCGTTCAAAGCGTGACACGAAATCTTCGGGGCCTTTCTCAACTGTCGTCAAATGTCTGCGACAGGCACAAGTACCGTTCAAGTGCCGCAGGGCTCATGAGCCTGCTTTTCACACAGGCTCCTAAGGAGCTCCACTGAGCTCTAAGAAGCTTTCGGAGGGCCCAAACCGGCCTCTGAGAGTCCCACTGGTGTCCATGTTCTCTAGAGGGCCCATACAGGGATCTTTGAGGACATTATACATACGTAGACCTCTGAAGGGCCACACGAATCTTTGAGGATGTCTTCGAAAATTTCTGAAAACCTCAACTGGCCTATGATAGTTCAGCCGAACTTTTGAGGCGACAGACTTTACTAAACCCCAACCCGGCATCTGAGGGGTCACAACTCACGTGTCCCTCTGAGGGCCGCAACACATGTTTCTGATGTCCCTACCAACGTAGGGTCCTTAAGGATTCGACGCAGACCCCGGCGGTTCACACTGTTATTCGAGGGCTCCAGGCTCACCCTGGGCCTAGTCTCTTAGCGCCCGCCGCCCACACTGGCTTCTGAAAGCTCGTGTGCCCTAAAGGGCTTTCCGGGCCCACCTTAGGCTCGGAAAGCCCTAAAGCACCACATACACGTAAATATTTGGGGTGACCCACGCCGATCTCCGGGATCCTAAGCAGGCTTCTGAGAGTCCACACTGACCCTCAGTGGCCTGAAATGGCCTGGAAGTCGCAATCCTATCTCTAAGGGATCCCTTGCCGCTATGCCGTGCGTAACTTTTGGTTCCGTTAAATATTTTTGGTCGCGTTTGCAGCGCTTCCCTTCACTCGAAAAACCAGAAACTTTTTGTTCACACTCGAGTGAACAAAACACTTCTCACTGCAGCAAGGATGAATGATGTACTTCCGATTCACACTTCCGACATTCTCTCTCAGTCTCCGCCGAATGCCCAATTCTTAGCTACAATCGGCGGCTGGGATAAGCCCTATGCATTTCACGTAAAACCTGGGCATGCAATATGCATGCGTGAATGGAGGTTTTAGCGAGGTGATCCGATTCAAATGGAGCGTTTTTCACCTTCTTCTGGGTAATGATCATGAGCGACAAGAGTCTGCACAGGGGCCCTCTGCAGTGCGTCGGCAATCGCAGCCACTGTAATTCTAACGGTCGTTTTTGTCCAAAAATTTCAAAATTTTGATTTTTTTTTGTAAAAAAAATACATGCTATAGCTAGAAGGAAAACTTTGTCACCATCGGATTCCTCGCACCATTGCGCGTCGAATGATATGTAAAACGAGTGAGTAACGGCTGGGGAAAGGCAAGATTGAACACAAAACTTGATTTTGCCCCCCCAACCGAAAATGTCTGGCGACGCCTATGCACAAATTTATTACACAATAGGCAAAACAATGTGAATGACTTACTTGAAAGAGGACCAGTCTTCTCTGATGCCAAGTTTGTTCAAATAGTATGATAGTATCACTTCTTCTTGAATCCTTTTCCAGCTAGTTCCTATCTGCTTAAAGCTCACACCTTGATGTGTTTACCTTGAATGTGTCTGTAACAAAATGTACATGAGAATAATAATCAATGAGGACAAACAATGGGAAAAATCAGCATCTTACACACATACACATGCTTAAACACATGAAAGCAGCAGTGTTATTAGCTAACTTGATTATCATTAAGTATCAGTGCTTACCTACTAAATGCTATCCTGTCTAGCTGTCATGGCAAAGTGTCCATTCATAGGCCTAAAAAGTGAAAGGGACCATATTTGGCCTTTTTACGTCCTGTAGATGCACAGTGAAATTGATTTCTGATCACATTCACAATTACTAATACAATGCAATATATTTTTAATACAAATATAAATTGATTTCATTGTTTACCACATTGGCCGCATACCAGATAATGCAATAAAATGATCACATTTCAACCTTTTCACTTAGCTCAACAAAACTGGACACAATGTTACATTTTATAACAATGAAACTCTTTAAATCTATAATCAACTCTATGACTCCATAACTATAACAAAGATACCTACGCACATAACCATCAAGTTCTGCCGATACAATTTTGATGCATCAAGAAAGCCATAGTATAATAAACACCACTTAGAATAGAGCACATCCGTGATGTGAGCAATTATCAATGAAGAAGACAGACCAAACAATATCAAAATTGAAATCGAGCTTGAGGTCTGAGATCAAGATGTTTTTTTACAGATCATTCAAGAACAAGATTTGGATTGAGTGAGTGAGACTACATCTCAATCTGCATCTGCATGTTGATATCAATACAAACGAAATACTACAGCAACATCGCCAACACATATGAATACATACTGAAAAAGAAGCACGGAGGAAATAAATAAGAGTCATACCTTTGGCTTTGTTCGCCCGCGTTCCCTGTCGAAAACGAAAACGAAACTCAAACTGAAGCTCTGTGGAAGCCCAGTGTTTACAATCAATGGCTCAAGGTCACCGTGTTCAAGCGATCTGCGCGCCACCTAGCGATGATGGTACTCTACTCTGCTTCTGATTTCTTCCGACGAGGGCGTTCGAGTTCGGAGCACGAAGTCACTGACGGAGAAGGCCTATATGTGGCCTTGGGAAAAGGGCATAATCGGCATAATACTGAATAAAGGGCGCACCCAAGTCCTGAGTGGTGTCTGAATGAGTACAGGTCAGTCAGGGATGAAAATCACTTTTGACTGAAAAATATGAGATTGAACTTGCAAGTAGTCCACATATAACGATAATGTCCGATCCAGCCGGACTCAAAACGATTCACTTCAAATATGGGGTCACTCACCACTTGCTGGTCTTTGAGGGCCCACGCTAGTCTTGAAAGGACTTTTCATCTCATACCAGCCTTTGATGAATCATGGTGTTTTGCTTCTCGGCCTATGGGGGTACAGATCCCACGAGCCCACGCACTACAACGCACTACGTGGACCTCCAGGAGCCCGTGCCTCGTCTCTTCCGTCCCCTGGGACCATTTCAGGCCTTGATTTCAGACTAGTTCAGAGGACAATGTAAATGAGTCGGTCACCAGCCACTGCACCGCCGTATAAGCTGTGCCTATCCCAGTGGACCAAGCAGTGTCCGGGCGGCCGGAGACACAGACCAAGTCTTCGGGCACCCAGTCGCTCAACCGGCCATACTCCCTCCGCCGGCCGTCTGGTAACTGGTTACTGGTTAGGTAGTTAGTTCGGTTCAGGAAAGTATGATTCAAGGATGGAGATTGGGTGGTCTGGAGGAACGTAAATAAACTATGGAGGACCCTGGCGTGACAATGGCCGATCAGAAGCAGGCGCACCTTGCACCAAAAATAACCACTTTGGATTGCTCGACGTCTGAAGAAAAACATTCCAGATATTGTGAATGTGTTTGACTCAAGCCTACGATTATTTGTTCGGTTGCTGCATCATCGATTAACCGGGTGCCCCGCGAAATACTTCACTGACAACTTCAGGAACGACCAACACACGACCTTAGCAACGTTATTTATTGATTTTACGTCATTTTATGACTAACAGCAGTTAGAGCCAATGGCTTTGTCACAAAGCGCCCAAAACAATGTTTTAGACGACCCGGAATGTCATGTTTGACAATATCAGAGATGAACGAGTTTCAATATCACCCACAGAGCTCGGCCTCCTGAGTCTGTTCCCACCGACTGTCCCCCAGATACCCTGACCGTGATACTCATGACGTCACAGGCTCGACTCTGAGTCGTCTCTCGCTGGGAGAGCGCCTCACTTGGCGGCGCCGAACACCGCCATGTGGGCGTTGATGGTCTTGATGAACCGGTCGCTCTCCATGTACTTTTTGATGTTGGGCAGCGCCTCGAACCGATCTACCAGCTGTTTGAGGTTGTCGGACCCGTCCAGCACCTTGGGCTCCAGCTCGCGCCAGTTGGTCAGCATGTCGTAGGCCATGACGTCCACATAGGTGATGCGGTCGCCGAGGAACCAGGGCTTGGAGCCCAGGTAGGCGTTCAGCTGCTGGCAGTAGGTGGTGGAACGCTGCACCGCCTCTGGCAGGCCGGCCTTGAAACCCTCCTCGGTCTGGTAGCACAGGTCAAAGAACCACGTGCGCACGTCGATCACCTGAAACGAAACAACTGAACTTCAGATCGAAATCCGATTACTTTGGTAGTTAGTTTTACTACGCTTTATTACGGATTACTTTGCTTCTTTGTTTTTTACCGTAGAGTAGAGGAACTTACGTTCTTAATTTATTTGATTTTTCAATTGAGCCATTTGACTTCATATACCTACCTCGAGTTGCTTTCAGAAGTAACAAATACGTTTTACCAAAATGGTTCATATGCAGTTCCAGTTCAGATAGATGCTGGATGTCTATTTGTCTCCATTGCAGTCTGCTGACCGGTTAGCTAATTACATTGCAGGAAATTCCGGTTATTTTAATGTAAACTAAAAAAACGTCGAGATTTGACTTCAGATCTTCGCTGGAGTCCAGTAAGCAAAAAGTTAATTTCATTTAATTCATCTCCAATGACGCCGACGAACATACGAGGAAAAATGAAGGCCGTGACGACATTGGAAGGCGCTACGACGAAAAATCGACGACGTTGCGAGAAAGAGCAGGCAATCAAAGGCATTTGCAATAAAACCATACAAAGATCGAGAGAGTCAAACATTTTAGCGGCCAGTTGAGCTCTGAATCGCACGTAGGTATATTTATAATTCCCCCGTTCAACACGTCCTTCGGCACCGCCTTGACTCACCACGCCCTCCAGCATGTCCAGCTGGCTGGCCTCGGCGTCGTTGTTGGCGGCCATGTTGTGCTTCCTCCCCAGGTGACGCACGATGGCAGAGCTCTGCGTCAGCTTCTGGTCGCCGTCCACGTAGTAGGGTAGGTTCGGGAAGGGCAGGCCGTGCGGGTTCTTGGCCTTCTCCTGGATCCAGACATCCTCGGCTCGCAGCTGCCAGGGTGAGAGAGATGGAGTGAGTGTATTTGGGGTTTGTGAGGTGATGTGGGACGGTTGGGCCGGTCGCAAATGCCATCATTCGTCAATTGTCCCCAATGTCCGGACATTGGGGACATTACAGCTGCCTAGTACCAGGGCCACACTAAACTGGACGTGTAGGGGAAAAGAAAAGACGGGAATTGATGCAACATGAAAAGAAAATGTATCATATAAAAGCATCGGATGAGCTGCATCACTTATTGCAGTGTGATTCGACCAACACAAATATTTGCCATGCAATGAAACCAAAATATGTCAAAGATTCCTAGATAATGTCCGGGTGGTGCATGAGTCGAATCAGTCCGGTGCCCGCTGACGTTTGATCGCAGACGAACAATGCTGCCGCCGTATCGGTCATCGAACTTGAACTGGGCCCTCCGGACTGCATTCTCCGACACTCCCAGTCCAGACACACAAACAAACAATCACTCAGAACAGGTCAGGAGAGGCGAAGGGGCCGGGCGAGGCATGGAGCACCGGCGCCGCGACCCGACCCTGGCCTGGATGCGGCGCTTGGCGCTGACTTCTGATAAAGGGAGGTAAATAATGGCATTATTGCTGACAAGACAAGTATAGATAATTATAAGCCAGTTTTAAGAACTATTCTGTCTCGCTACAAGTAAGTATTTGCAACACAAAACTCATAAAACACCTCTAATTTACACTACGATCATGCTCTTTTGCAATCATACGATAAATTTTTGGTCGAACTGGGATTCGAGCACAAGACCATCCATTGAGAACATGACATGGTGTCATTTATGGGGGATGCAATGATGCATCTCAATCTTGAGAAATGGGTGGAGTGGATGGGCTCTTCATTTCGATTCCTGAAATGTGATTAAATGTTCTGGCTATGGATCTTTATATTTCATTTATGAACATCTCTAGAAAATAATCTTGAAAAACAGGCGGGAAAGTCACATTTCCACGAACACGACGATAAGCAACCTTACCAGTTACCATTACGATAAACGCTACGCCTTTGTCTAATTTATCACTAGAATAAATCGAAACGTTATGGGAAAGGTCACCTCACGTTGCCATGCATTTGGAGGGTCATGATCAATACTTTCATCCTGATCCGCAGCAATCACAATCAGTGGACAGGAATAGAACTGAACCCACCTGGTCAAACCTGTTGTCCTGGTACTCTTCTCCTGCCAGCTCCAGCAGCAGCCGGCAGGGCTGGCCAAGACCCTTGATCGCCCAGTAGCCGAACACGGTAGCCATTACTGCGAGCTTTGTGATCCTTCAGACACCCGACAGCTTCTCTCACCGGCTACAAAACGGTCGATTCCGGCCGCCGGTATCTCCGCGCATGGGACGCCGCCAGCGCCCCCTCCGCCAAGGCCATTGATATAACCCTCCGCGTGGCGCTCATAGCTGCTGCAGAGGCGCGCCCAGGCAACGCTCCAAGGGGGGATGGCAAAGAACCATTCTTAGGTGAGCGTGGTGGCTCACCGTTACTTATTTTATCATTCGGATTTGAGAGATGATTTACAGTCAAGCGGGAAGCTCACCACGGTTAAATGCGAGTTTTCAAGTGAAAAGCTTGCGAGCCATGTTGCTGGGACCGCCGCTGACGTTGTAGGTTGTCCCCGGTTCCCGTCCCCCCCAAGGCTATATACCTAAACCGTCCCCCCGATACGGAGCGGGCTGCGAACTCAAGGTCAGCCACTGTAGCCAGGGGGCGGCGACTCGTCGCCCGCGTCTGTGTGTGTGTGCGGGGGAAGGGGAGGGGGGTGATTAATCGGCATATACCGGTGCGCGGTACATGGGATGGCAACAGCACGGGTTATTGGCTTCGGGGGCCTAGTGTGCAGACTGCAAGTGCAGTTACACTAAACACATTGCACAAGGATGTGTGTACCGGGTGGCCCAGAAAAAACGTTCCGAACTTTGGAGGCCTATATATCAAAGTCGAGTGCAAATAACGAGACAAAATTTTCAGCAAGTTTGCGTCATTTCTTTGCGCATTGGTATGCTAAATTATAACACTATACCATCATTTTCAAGCTGGCAATCTTGAGTTGAATTAAGCAAGACGTTTTTGCTTTTTTGCCGATGTCAAACGATAGTGATGATTGGGTTAGACGCCCCATGTTATGAAAAAATAGAAAAATAGAGCATGTGAATGAAACCAACTCGTATGTTCTTATTTTAAATATTTGTGTCTCACTTATGTGCCAAATATTCAAATACTGAGCCAAAATGGTGCTCATGGATGCCATTCGTTTTAACACCAAATCATGATTCGTGGCACGGTGCATGGATTACTGCTGATTACCCTCCTTTCAGTAGATCAAACAGTAAATCGACCGGATAAGGAAAACAAACTAAAACAGACTAGTTCCTGTGCCAGAAGACCACATAACATTTTATGAAAAACAACATTGCCAGCAGATGACAAAAAAGAAAACTGGTTGAAAAGCTACCTTTTCCCAGGAATGTCAGCCAGGAAAGCATTTGAGCCACAAGATGGTTAGAAAACTGGAGACTTCTTCCGATGCCACTGGCACAGAGCCATCGTGGTTGCTGATGGAATGTGTCATCCTGAGACCCGAACCATCAATGAGACTAGCTGCCAGTAGCAGCCATGGCTCTAGGCCGTGGTGCCGAGGGGTGAAAGTGACCTGTTCACTCACATTTTTGAGTAAACATCGGAGCAAAAAAGTAATTTTTACATGGCATGCTTGAAACACGAACCGTTTAAAAAGTAATTTACCGAACACCATAAAAATCACACCATTTACTGAAAATGTGTGCCGCATTGACTATTCGAAGTTTCAATGTTGTATCTTTATCACTTTCTGAGAAATATTGATTTAAAGTTGGGAACGTTTTTTCTGGGCCACCCGGTATATTGCAGGAACTCGGGATGCACTACATGGGGCGTGGCCTCACCAGGTGGATGACAGCACGTGATCGCCTGAGGCGGTGGGGACTGGGGGGTAACAAACAATGTTTTCGTCCTTTAATGCTCAATGCATTCGCTGCGACTTTTTTTATAAAGCCCTTGTTTAAGCCCTTGTTACACTGCCGAATTTTGGTACACGAATGTGCACGAATATGCAAGTCATCCTATGTCGCGGACCGATTCGGGATCTTTCTTCCACGGTCTTGGCATTTCGCAGACCAATCGGTGTCCACCGCGCGACTTTTACGGTTCGTCACGACCGCCACGAATATTTCATGAAAAATGAAAATTTCGTGGCCGTTCGCCGAACTTATAATAAACGAACATGATCGCCAAACACTCGCCGAGTCGCCGCCGACATGTCGCTACGTGCGCCGACTTGTTGCCAAGGAATCGCCGACTATTCGCAACAGATTCGCCATTCATTCGCGATGTTCGCCGAATCATGGATCAGCTTCGACCCGCGCACGATTAGGGGGCCCCCCACCCGTTTTCTTCAAATCGGGCTCTGTCGGCGAACTGTTCGCCTCTGTCGGTAAACTGTTAGCCGATTTCCTACATGACGTGATTCGGCGACAGGGTCGTGGCCAAAATTCGGCAGTGTAACACGGCCTAAGACCCTCTCCTCGTCGCGACTCGCGAAAAATCTTGGGTCTCGCTGCCGTGGTTGGTGGTATGCAATTTGGGACATGCACAGCTTGGGCGTTCCACGACAAATCGACCAAAAAAAAATCGCGAAATAACACCCTACCTCTCATATTTTGATGAAATCTCGTCTATGAGGTTATCTTGCCCGGCGATTCGTGTTGTGACATTTTCAATCTCATTCGTCGAATACTTTGGGAGATATTGCCCCAGGCAACTTAATGGCTACCATAAAAACTCGTATGTTTCATCCGCAGATATTTAGCTAAATACCTACGCATTAGATTCATATAAAACTGGATATCATCACAATTAGAATTAACCATAGATTTTCGTGATATCAATTATTTTTGAAAATTTTGATTTTTAATTTTTTAACATAAAATTGATTTATAAAAATCAAATTTTGAGAACGTGACCATTTTTTACAATTTATTTTTGCAGCAAAAGTCTTGTCAACGCATTGACTTTCAATGATTAGAATATTAAAAACATGTTTTCCCCTAAATGTCGCTACAACATTGAATTTCGTCGTACAGTGGAAAAAATAACAATAACTGTCAACCGGTTTGAACGGAGTACGGTCAAATGTGATCAAGAGCTCATTACATTTATTACAATACAACGCTGTTAATTTTTTTTTGTAGTGATGCTTTAGACACCTATGAAAGCCAAGTTAGGACCCAAAGATCCAAAACGTCATAATGGCGTATTGTTTTCAAGAGAGCGAGGTTTAAAGGTAGTGTGCCACCTTTGAAAGATTTCCCATTTTATTTTTCCTAGGATAAGAAGCTTCTGTTTTTACCTAATATCGCAAAAAAAATCAAAAATGGGCCTGGAATAGTGCCTTTTACGCCTAAAAGTTTTTCGGTTTTTAGATATGTATAACAACTGTAGTGGGCTCACCTGCAAACAGGCGTCGGGCAACAATCGCGAATGCGGCGCACTTGTGACAATAAGCAAAGGTCATTATAGTGTTACGACCATACGACGTACAGGAATGAGTTATCAGCTGTCTAATCGTAGACAACACAATGTCGAGCCTTAAACTGTAAGCCCGTATTGGTATTGTTTCTTTTATTTGGCTGTCGAACATTATTTATGGTTTGAAATATGATTTTATGTAAAATAATTGATATGAAAAAGCCGTCTTATAAGTTATGACCCCATTTCACCACACGCAAGTGGCAGAAATGACAATGATCAGCTGACGCATTTTTCTTGGCCGAAGTCAGAGCGCGCGGCCCGACGCACCACGCGTATTTTATTTGGAAATTCCGACCTCGACGAGCATCAGAAGCCACCTAACAGGCGTGTTCGAAACCGCAGGAGATGATGATGAACGGGTTTATCGAAACTTGATTGGATGAGCATATCGGTAATAGCGATTTCAGTGTGTGCATTTATTGTTCATAGTGGTGTGAAATGTGGTTGGGGTACGACCGACAACCCGTCGGGGCGAATTTCGCACTGGGGTACTCAAAATTTGAAGAATTTAAGACGTTTCCATGAGTTTTGAAGGTATGGATAAGTTCTAAAAATCCGGTTCTCCTTATCTGGGCCATTAACTCCATACGGTCCAAGAAAGCTGGCACACTACCTTTAACTCCCTGTGGCCGAGGGAGCCAGGGTTGTATACGACTCAGTCAATAGCAATCAATTCAATCACGACAAATTTGGGAAACCAATCAAATCAATCAAGTCAGAGCAGTTTTCGGGAATTGATTCAATCGACTCAAACGCGACAATGAAAGGAATCAATCAACTCAATCAAACGACTCAAACCAAGACATACATTAGGTTTTTTGCCCACCAACTTGGAAAAGTGTCCATAGCAGTCTGGTGTACCTACCTACCTACCTACCTACCTACAGAAGAAATATAAAAATATTGTCATTTAAAATTATAAATTGCCATGCCATTCAAAGTTTCTATGTAATAAGGAAGGATACCTAGTGATGGACAGGTGGATCATGATATTGAGGTTCAATGGGTAGAATTGGAGCAGAAGTTTCATTTAATGGGTGCAAAATAACCCAGTAGTTGACTTGCCCCTTAACCCAAATCACCACCTTTCACCTAAAAGTTGTCAATTTAATTTTGGCCATATTCCAACTCCATTTACACTAAATATCAGATATTGCAGTTGAAAGTTGACTGCTCGGATTTTGGCAGTGTTCGTGATTTGGCCATTTACCCTACACCATGTCTATTTCAATGGATTATATGCATCAATAACATATTAACCATAGGGAAATAGAAATAAATATCTTACCTGTATGTGACGGTTTTGGTTAGACAGAGACTGACGGGCAGCCTGAAAAATCTTTCCACACAATGTGCATTTGAGACGTGGGATGTTGTCAGATTGGGAAGGAAGAGATTTGAAGTATTTAGCGGTCCACGACTCTGGACGTGGCATGTCAATGTTAGGTACCTATGTGAAGAATTCAAAACATTTGTGTTTGAATTTTATTGCAATACAATTTGAAACTGTTAGGACTGGGGGATAGGGATGAGGGTTAAAAAATATATTTAAAAGGAAATGGAGAGGACAGGAACTCTGGAACCACAGTATAAGTTAAGGACAAAGGAAGTGGGAACGAGGAAAATTAAAACGCGAAAACGGGGACGACGGTGAAAACAGGGCGCCTTGGGCGATTTGACCAAGGTTGGTGAAATTTACACGTGACGTTTAGCATGTAGAAGACCCACGAAGGGGGAGCACTTCCAAATGTCACGTGACTAATATGCCCTCCGGCGCCCTGTTTTCACCGGCGTCCGAAAACGGCACGGTGCGACTGCATGAAAACGTTTTGCCAATAAGTATGCTAAGCTTTTATAAATCCTTATTCTACGTCTTTTGATTTTTTGGTAAGATGACGTCATTGATTATCATGTAGTATGGTAGATCATCATAAAATAAATCGGTTATACAACACCAATTTCGTTTTAGTTATTATTTTATTTGAAATAAAACCACTTAATAATATTCGGTAAAATATTTCAAGGAAAATGAAATATATTAAATATGTTATGCTTAGGCTCTCAGGAGAAAAGGATCAACAAACGTTCTGCTGCAAATTAAACAATGCAGCAAATTAGCTATTAATTAGGCACGTAAACGTAAATAGCGAGACGAAAACGGCGCTTTTGTTTCAGTTATTTTTGTAGGGGTTTCAGATATTTATGGAGTTCAGTGGGTTGTTTCTGAGGAGATGTGGAGATGTGAATTATTAATTAATCACACTTTATTAGTATATAGGGCCTTGCACTTTATCATCTGGATTAGAAAAAACGTTTCCTGCTGAGTGCAGAAAGGTAGGTAGGTGCATCGCCAGGTTCTATCACCAGGATTGGTGCAGTTATTGCAGTTGAAAGTCAAAGTTGGCTGTTCATGTTTAGGCCCTGTTCTTTATTTGGCCATCTACCCCATATTGCAGTTGTGATGACAAGCAGTTTTCAGTGTAGTTTTGTGATCTTTGATGTCATCAATTGGTGTCATTATTTTTCGTCAACTAAAAGTTATTTGAACTCTCCTTTCAATCGACTCAATCATACGAGTCACTCTAATTTTCAGGAATCAAATCAGTCAACCAGTCGCTAAAGTCAAACGAGTCAGTCAACCAGTCATCTCGAAAAGTCAATCGACTCAATCCAATCAACTCAAAATACGCGTTGAAACAAATCAATCAATTCAATCGACTTGATTGGTATACAACCCTGGAGGGAGCGAATGCTGTCCACCTTTGACCAGGGGCGTCGACGCGTAAGGAAAACTGGTCCGACTTTTTCTCGGGGGCCCCCAACGGTGGGGGGGGGGCCCGCGAAGGGCCCCGCGAAGGCGCAGCAGGGCCCCCGCGAGCCGCAGCGGGGGGCCCCCGTTGCCGCAGCAGGGGCCCCCGTGGCCGCAGCAGGGCCCCCCGTGGCCGCAGCAGGGCCCCCCGAGAGCCCCAACAGGGGCCCCCCGCGGCCGCAGAAGGGGACCCCGCGGGCCGCAGCAGGGCCCCGCAGTGTCTAGCAGGGCCCCAGAGGCGCAGCAGGGCCCCCGCGGTCTCTAGCAGGGCCCCCCGAGCCGCAGTAGGGCCCCCGCGGTCTGCAGCAGGGGCCCCCGCGAGCCACAGCAGGGCACCGCCTAGTCGAAAAAGTGGTCCGACTAGTCGGAAAAGTCGGACCGGTGTCGACGCCCCTGCCTTTGACGGTTTTCTCATCACTGCTGGGGACTCATTTGCGATATAGTGCTGAAGCCGGAAAGCTATTATAATTTATCTAGTTGATTTATCTTATGACATCAAATGAACTTTCATATAAGGTCACTTTACTGAACTATGACGTCACGTAAGTAAGGCGTAAGCCTATCTAATGCTGAAAAATGTCACTATTGCGAAACGCCAAACAATAGTTTACGGGGAGAACGTACCTACTTCACGCATGCTTTGCAAGGTCCGATGCTTTTGCTTTAGTTTTGCTGGTGGACCTTGCATGACGTCATAATGACGCAACGTCATTTATGACGTCACTAACGCTGATTGAGTCGAGAGTTTTTCGTTAATAGATTCCGAACAAAATGACATCATTGAGGGGAGGGACATCAATATGATACTCAGAATGAGCTGTCGCCTGTCGAATCGACAGATACTTTTGCTGTATAGGTATAGGTATTGGCCGTTTTCACAACGGGCTATCCGGCGAATGCACCTGATTTGACCAAATCTGCACCTGATTTCTTTTACAGCAAATATATGTATTTTATGAATTTATTTCAGTGTTTTCATCGACTATACTCTCTGATAATATGACAAAGCAGGCATATAAGCAATTAGTGCAACCTTAGAAAATCACTGCCAACACCTGAGTCAAACTCAAAGCCATTCGAATATAAGTCCGACACCGAATCAACCGGAAATAGAATGTGTATATAGGACACACGTCATTGCAGACGTTGAAGCTGACTCGCCTGTAACATAAAATCCAGGCCTCAAATTAACACCGGCCAAGTTGCCCCACCCCATACCGGCCTACTAAATCTGCTAGCGGGGTAATTTGACCGCTTTGCAGACTTTTGTAAAACGTCATAATTTAAAACTGGGTATCATTGGATTCGTCTCTTCCCAAAGAATCTTTTTGGTCTTTACCGCTAAGCTCTATCTCCAACAGGAACGAAATGGCGCGGGGGGGGTGGCAACCACCCCCCCCCCCATGTGCGTTCTAGGATGGGAAAATGGCATGTGCGGGCGAGGGTTAAAATGGACAAATCATGACACCATACAAAATGTCCCAGATTTATCTATCACGTGCATTGCTTTTTTGCACAAGATTTTTCGATTTAGGGACCACCATTGACGTTTACTTTTTAACAGTTAAAAAAAATCACCCTGTATACTAGCGAAAAAACACAGTCAGAAGGTGACTATACCTTATACAGAAGGTGACTAGTTATGGTGAAGCAAGTCGTACAGGAACACTGTAAATCTTAAAACGTAAAAAAGCATGGGTGTATTGCAAAGTCATGACGGACGCAACAAGTATAGGTACATACTTAACAAGTAACAACAAAACAAAAATATCCTACGATTGACCATACACGAAAAGCTACAAACATGTTAGAGAGGCTCACGGGGATAACAAAACGTCATAAAAGACCCGGTAGGCCACCGTAAGTCACGATAGGTCCCGTCACGTGCAGGTCCTCGCGGGGTAATGGCAGGTCAGGTCAGGTCACGGCAGGTCACAGCGTCACGTCTGGTGCTCTGCTGATGAGGAGGCTGACGCAAACTCCTTGTCTGAAATAACACGAATGGATTTGAATTAGGTATGCTAAGAGTTGCGAATGCAATTGTTTACCTGAGTACTGAACCACGATAAAAATACGTTAATAACTGGTATAGAAGAAGCTTATTAAAATAATTAAAAGCCCGCCATTTTGACACCTTTGATAAAGACGATGCAAAAAAGAGCGATAGATAGCGCGCCTATTATTTTTAGCTTACCTTCTCCTGAAGCAGTACCGGCGGAACACCTTCAATTAAGGGGGGGGGGGGGGCACTGCCGACTTTTGGTCCCATTCTTTCCATGCAACGCCCATAGGGCTAATGTTAAAATGCCAAAATCAAAGGGGGGCACGGTGCCCCGGTGCCCTCCCCGTTCCGCCGCCTATGTCCTGAAAGTCGTTTGAGGTAGTGCGAGCATCATCGTATTTTTTAACTCAACTGATTACCTAAATCATTGGACAAATTTGTGTAACATATAGTGTTTCCATTTATGGCACCTTTTTGGAGGCAGTCTCGCTCGTCGTCGCCTTCTGTGCAGTCGGCAAATCCGTCACAGAGCTGGGTCCGATCCACACAGCCGCCGGCCGGCCGACATCTGTGACACATACACACATACTGACGTCACAGAGCTGAGAACAGTCCAGAGTCTCCGACCGGACGACATCTGTGACACAGACTGAGGTCGGAGACACACAGACTGACTTCACAGACTTAGACTGGCGCCATAGACACAACATGGCGTCTGATAGACCCACAGACACGCATACTGACGTCACAGACTGCAAAGCTGCTTTAAGCTAGTGATTAACCCCCCCCCCCCGCCGCGTTTATTTGGCATTTAGAAAGACATTCAAGCCATGAACCGAGCGCCGCCTACGACAGCCACTCTCACGACCGTCACGCTCTGGTCTCGCACCTGTACTGGAGCGGCGAGCAGCCGTCACAGCCGAGCTCGTCACTGTCGTCGTCACACTGCGGCGTACCGTCACACCGCCACTCGGCCGGCAGACAGGACGTCTGGTCGGCGCACGCGAACTCGGAGAGCACGCAACCGTCTGCAGAAGGGCGTCAAAATAAGTGTTCGTTAACGTGAGAAAATCAACAAAAGTGAAATAAACTTTATGTTTACACATAGTTGTAGCATAAATATAATAAAAGTTAACGACTTAATTATTGAACAATCCATGACGCGTCACGCTGTCATCTACTGAGTTCATAACACCACAATTACCTGCGGCTGATGAGTAGCAGACGCTCGGGTCGGTGGAGTCTGGCATCAGACTGCAGTTGAAGGCGCGATTCCTGCTCAGACTGGAAGGGATCGCAGCGCCGCAGCTGGACACTATGTCTGTCCGAAGGTATAGAGGAGCGGTGATCGAGGTCAGGTGGCGGTAACCAATAGTTAATCGGTAGGTAGTAGGTACCGATGTATGTACTCGTATCTGTCTTCTGTAATTGACCTGAACGAGAAATGCATATTTTTATTTCTGTATTATAGTGGTAAGTGTTTAGGGGACATGAATGCGTATGTAGAAGATAGTAGATACCATGCTCTTCAGATAAAATGCGCAAGCTAGTTTATCTTATGGTTCGAAACTTACGTCAGATTAGCCGGCTGACATTATTCTATCCAGAACACACGTTCCGATCACGATCTAACCTTGGCAGAAGTGTCGGCACGGCGGCAGGACGTGCGGCGTCGGCCGGCTGACACACTGGGGCTCCATGGCGGCACACACGTACTCGGCTACCAACGGACTGCAGCCGCTCTCCGAAATCGCCTAGAAAACACCACCGAAACGTCAATAATAAGCCAAACACATATTTCAGCGAAACCATAACGAGCATAGAATACAAGGACTTGAACTATATCGTTCTGAAATGCCAAACATTTTATCGATACCAAACCAATAGACACCTATATGACATGAGAATTAGGCAAAGATGCAAAACAAAAATTGTACCTATCAGGCTATCACCTTATCGCATTGTTAGAAGAAAAAAAAAGCACACCTTCCTGTGCAGCTGATAAACGGGTGAGGTTGAAGCTTTCAACACCATCTCCCCATAGCTGACCTCAAAGAAGACGAGATTATCGACCAGTTCCTGGTCGGAGGAGGCGCCGGCGAAGTTTGGCAGCGACGTGGTCCGGTAGGGGAGCCGGCCGTCGCAGAATCTCAGTCTGCTCACGGTGCACTGGTCGACCAGGTTTGTCTCTGGGGACGACAGCGAAACGGTGCCCCGTGGTTGAGAAGGTTGAAAGTAAACATAACGACTTTTGTTTACACCAAATAAGGCATAGAGAGATGTGGCATCAACATGTTAAACGTTTTAAGTGTTATTCGATTAGTTCAGGTATACATCAAAAGCGGGTGTAAATACACGGTCATTAGACAAAAAAAAAAACGTTTAAACGTTAAAACCTCTAAACTAAAGGCGTTTAAACGTCATGAGAGAAAGCCACTCACGTGATTTGAATTCATCCGAGCTACCGTTTTCCTTTTTGGACACGTCGGTTTTCTCCTTCCGTGACTCAGCTTTATCCTTCAAGGAAGCTAAATGAGAAGGACTCGATTTGGGATCCAAAGAAGCCTCGTCAGGACTCTTTTGTTTCCCATAATCTTTCGGTTCTGGATGGATTTCTTGTGACTTAGGCTGATTTATGACAGATTGGATGTCCTTTTGACTTGCCCTCCGATCTTGATTCTGTCGCGGCCTCTGCTCGCTCTGCACTGGCTGCCGAGTCGCACTGCTCGCAGGGCTCTGACTCAGCTCCCGACTATGCTGCTGAGTCAGCTGCGACTGCTGTTGACTCATCACCGGTCGGACACCCTGTCCACTCGAAGTCTGTGAGAGTCTCCGACTCGGCGCCGACTGCGGCTGCTGACTCGCACGACTCTGACTCCAGGACACCTGCTGACTCGGCCGTCGTCTCGACTCGAGTCTGCGCGTGGAGTCACTGGCTCTCTCCGGTCCCGAGTCGGAGTCGGTGGAGGGAGCTGCGGCAGCGGGATGGACCAGTCGGGAGAGGCCGTCCCTGGCCAGAGAGGCCAGAGTGCTGCCCGCCAGCATACCGGCCAGTGTCTGAAACAGAATCGGTAGGACGTCATGCTCTTTGTAGAAGGTAAGGGATGCCAATCAAAAAAAAAAAAAATGTCAAGGAAATATTTCGCGTATCATGTCGTTAGCCCACTACGCAGGACACCTGGTTACATAAACGGAAAACAGCAACTCCATTTTTGCGACAATGAATGTGATCAAATGGTAAAAGCAGATTGGCAGAGGGAAAGCAAGAGGAAGAGTCCTTACCATTGGAGGTGACTGCGCCCCTTCGCTATCTGCTGCTGCTGCTGGGGTTGCCGTCGCTGCTGCTGGCGGTGATGCTAGAGTTGGTGCCGCCGTACCGGATCCTGCCCTGTCGGGTCCGACCGTTCCGGAGCTGGAGGGATGTGTCGTGCTACCCGTGACCTTCACACCGCTGCGACTCTCGGCGGTCCTCACAGGAGCTCCACCTCCCCGACTGGAGCTGGTCCGTCTGCCTATCCCATCTGAAGGAGTAGGACTTGGCTGCACGACGTCTGTCGATACCCGCGCGCCGCGAAAGGCTGAGCCCGTTCTGAAGATTCCCGACGACTGGGCGACGAGCGCGCTGGACTTCTTTGCAACGGAGGAGACACCGTCGCGGACAAGACTTGATCTAGACCTCACAGGGGACGATGCCTCGGAGGGCGGGGTTCCTCGCTGCGCAGATTGTCGCCTCTGTGAAGTTCCGCTGATATCTTGTTGTGACGGTTTTGCCTGTTTCGGCATTGGTTTTGCTGGACTTGCTGCTTCAGGAGGAGACGCAGGCGAGGAGCTTTGGGATGATCGTCTCTGAGACACGGTACTAGAAGTCTGGCCGAGCGAGGACCTTCTGGTAGTAGAGCTGCTTACTTTCCCTAGCGAGGACCTCCTTCTTGAAACGTTACTATCTGTCTTGGACACGGAAGGTTTTTGATTGAGCATGCTACTGGCTGCCTGAGTCCGAGTTTGGGTGCTCTCTGTCGATGCGACAACGCTAGGCGATGCTTCTGACGCGGTCGCACCTACAGGCTCTTCAGCTTCGTGGATAGTTGATGACCCTGTTCTTGCGTCGCCTAGGGAAGATGAGAAAGAGGACTTCTGCTCTCTCAGCTGTCCGGTGCTGTCTTCTCGGCTTTGAGTAGCACCGACACCAGGGTTAGAGCCTGCTGAAGGAAAAGGAATATCTTCTGTTGGTTCATTGACATGAGAGAGGTCTTCCGGCACATCTTCATTCGACGACGACGAAGAGGACGAAGACGATGCACTGCTGCGGGCATCATTTGCAGTGGTTTGCTCGACATTCGCCGCTGCCGAGCCTTGTGGAAACAGAGGATGCTCCTCTGCTGCAGCTATTGATGATGCAGGTGAACGAGCTATCTCAGGCTGACTGACCGTTTGCGGTGAAGCATTATCATCATCAGTCGAGGAGGCAACTCGTGGAGGGAACTCATTTCCGAATAAACCACCTGAGAATAATGAGTCTTCATTGGCTCTGCCGTATTCAGCCGGCGTGGCTGGTGGTGTGGCAGCAGGTGCGCCATTGACCGCTACTACTGTCTCATCATGGGACTCGCCGCCATCGGACGATGACTTTGCCTCCGTGGAATCTGTTGCTCCAAAGCCCGCCAGAGGACCGGCCCCATAGTTGTCTGTAGGCTCGTCTGTTTTAGAGGTAGGTCCGAATCCTCCAGGTGTTGTGGTGTCCCATGGGTCTGCATCTTGACTGTTTGACGATGCACCAGCAAATGTTTCAAATGGGGATTCTAGTTGAGCTCCTGCAGCTCCAGTCTGGAAACGTGTTCCACCTTCTTCAGTTTCGGTCGAGGACTGTTCTGTCTCTTCATTTATCCGAGGGTCGCTACCAGGAGCTCCTTGGTTCCATTCGGGAGCAGCTGGTATGTCAGATGATGGCCCGAACCCTCCCGGTGTCGACCTCCACGGATCATCGTCTGTGGCATCATCACCGATAGGAGGCGAGCTGATTGGGCTTCCTCCTTGTGATGCAAACAAATTGAACTGATCAGTGCCACCGTCACTACCATCAGGTTCAAAGTGCTGCTGCTCCGTAGCAGACGAGCTGTCTGGGTGCGTGCCTTGCGCTTCCCACTCGCTAGATGATTCCTGAGGGGTTCTCGAGAACGATGATCCGACACCGTCAGCCTTCTGGTCGGAGAAGGCGCCATCGCTTCCAGGAAAGTCTCCCTCAAGCGGCCCTCCTGGACCGGGATACTGTCCCGCGAATGGGTCCTCACCCGCTGGAGATGCTGTTTCAGACGGCTGTCCACTTCCAGAGAACTGCCCCAAGGACTGTCTCTCGCTCGGCGGGGAGAACGGATCAGGCTGTCCGTCATCTGGATATTGTCTTCCAGAAAATGTATCTTCCTGTGGTGGTGACAGCGGTTCTTGTAGTCCACCGTCCCCTGGAAACTGGCTTGAGAACGGGTTGTCCTCTGCCGGCGACATCCCGGGAGGAAAACCGAAGCCATCCTCTTCCCCGATCTCTTCTTCTATCTCTCCGTCGTCCGAAGAGAAAGTGGGAGGAGGCGGCAGAGGCGGCGGCTGCGGCTCCGGCTCCGGGTCCGGCTTCTTGATCGGCTGGTTGCTGGGCGATAGTTCGATGTCAGTGCCTATCTCTGAGCCCGATGAAGAACTTGATGATGATGACGACTCAGACGAGGAAGATTTCTTTGGCTTTCCGGAGTCGTCCATCGCTTCTGCGAATAACATAGCTTTATTAGAATGTGCTTAGAAGGGCTGCCTATTATAATAAGATGAAAAGTTAAAGGTGACTTTAGATTCCAATACATCTTCTTTACCAACAAATCTGTTTTGTAGGTACACTTTTAACCCGCGCACCGACGGGGGTCTGCGCCAACTTAGTACCGACGGGGGGGGGCGGATGACCGCCCCCCCCCTGAGATCTCGAGAACGAAGCAAGATAGCGACAAGCGGTAAACGGCATCGGATACGCACGGTCAAGATCTACAATTTTTACTGAGGTCATTTTCAGGTCAGGTCAAAGATGACGTCACAGGGGTCGAAAAAGTCAAAATGGCGGCGCTAAATATGGAGAGAGTTTTTCTCGAATAACTTTCGAATTAGTCAAGATAGGAACAAACTAAGGGCATCATCGTGATCCTCTCGTCAATCCGCATCGAATGATATATATGTTGACCTCGAAAGGTCAAGGTCAAAGGTTGACCTCAGGTCACGTGACCTCGAGGTCATCATGTATATCATTCGATGCGTCTTGACGAGCTGAACACAATGAGACCATCCACGCGTCTGTATCTTGTTCCTGTACGGAGTTATTGGCCAAAAACCTTTGGTGACCTTTGATGACGTCACATGACCTCACAGCTGCCCAACAGCAAAACAGACCTCAAGGTAGTGAAGGTTGATCGTATATGAAGTCATGTATGGTATATGGGGCCATTCCGACCCGTTTTAGTGGTAAAAACAGGGAGTTGATTTTTCCCCCATTGACTTATAATGGGGAGGTCGCGAAATTGACCTGACCTTAGGTCACCGATATCAAAATTCCGAGATATACAAATTGTAGCTACTAATGACCTAATAACATCCTGCGACTTTCAAAGGCCTCCGACATCTACTGTAGCTCTGGCACGGTGACAAAGTTGCAAAAAAGTGACTTGAGGTTGGGTCATTCAAAGTGACCTGGTGACCTGACCTTGAAAGGTAGGAGGTTCAAACTTGCACACCATGTGTAAAATTGATAAGGGAATAGTCATACCAAATTTCGCGGCGCTACGCGCCGCGGTTTTCCCGCTATTCGCGAAAAACCTCAGGGGGGGGGCGGATATCCGCCCCCCCCCGTCGGTGCGCGGGTTAAGAAATATCTTAGTGAGTGTACTTATCTGCTAGTTTTATGTTCGAGGCATTTTTTAGATCACATTACCTTTTATGATAGAGTCGTGCCAATTAACCTCGTCGCCGAAATCTTCAAGCTCCGGAATGATGTCGTACTTATAAGTGTGTCCTATAGATGCAGAAGACGTATGGTAATTCTAAGATGTGCATGGTACTTTAAGACAAGGATATCGAAGCATATCAATTGACGGTAGAATTAATGTTAATGATATTCATTTACTGAAAGATTCAAGCTTGTTTAGTTACTGCCATCAAGTAAATAAGCACAGATCAAAAGGGCGAAACAATAACAATGCTTAAAATGATGTCATAAACCTCATTTCCTTTCGATAATAGAACAGTATAATAAACCGCGCCATCATAAGCTCGCGTACGGTTTTTCAACCAGTTGTAATGAGTCTAACGAGAAGACGTGAATGCTGCCAAGGCCGTAGAAAAATACGA